GCAAAAACGCGCGCAGAATAGCCATCTGAATCTCGAAAACCCAATGGTGAAAAACACATCGTTTCACCTGTATTCTGGGGGGCCCGACGTGGATGTACGCATTCTGGACTTTCCGGCGCCACAGCATGGGCCGCGCGTTGGCGACCGCTTCCAGGGCGCCAAGCCCCGCGGCCGCTAGAGAGTTGGCCGCGGCAGCTCAAGGGTCGGGCCCCTCCTTGGTCATGCTTGGGCCTGATGCAGCGGGGCGTGACATCGTGCGCGACCGCATTCCGGAGAATGCACGGGGCCCGCGGACGAAACGAGAATAATCTCCGCTCTAATGGGAGCCAAGGGAAGGCAAACATAATTCATTTTAGGTCCTGGGAAACAATGAGACACTGCGAGCTTACGTGAGTCCTCAAGCTCCGCGTGGAACCAGCGACGGGCCAGTGGAACGACTGGGCGAATGCCGAGTAAAGGTGGGACCCACAGGAAGCATTTGTAAACCCGATGAACCATTCGGTGTCCTATGGCACTGAAACGGGTATAAAGGCGGGTGAGGGATTCAATGAAAAGCCCGAGGGCACCATCGAACACCGATTGCATACCACTAGGGCTTACTGCGTAACACTGACAAGGAGCCCAATGCTGAAACTACACATGCGGCGCATTAACAGTTCAACGCGTTCGAACATGATGATTCTGGACGCACAGGGCCCGCTGAGACTACTGAAGCCGTTTCCCCGCCGCCCCAAGATGTGATGCACTGCGCGCCTGCTAGGGGCGCTGGGGTTATGCTCTGTAGGAGCGTTTTGCATTTTCGATCGCCCGTCGAGCCCGCGCAACCGAATCCAGATGCGATCGACGACAGGTCTTTTTTTATTGCATCAAAAACGCTTTAAACAAACGCTGTAACAATCGGATGCCAAATGTGGTGTTTTTTTTCCGTTTGGATAAAAGACTATAAAACATGATGGACCCACGAACCCGGAAAGGGATATAGACATGTGGAGCATGGACACGTTTTCATGATACCCAACTGGGCAACACCTCACGAAACATCCCACGAGACACCTCACGAAACAGCCCACGAGACACCTCACGAAACATTCCACGAGACACCTCACGAAACATTTCACGAGACACCCCGCGAAACATTCCACGGACACCCCACGAAACATTCCACGACCGACAGTGACAAACCACTCACCAAGGCGGTGTGGTCGTGCTGGGGAGTGGTCGTGCTGGGGTGTGGTCGTGCTGGGGTGTGGTCGTGCTGGGGGGTGGTCGTGCTGGGGGGGTGTTCGTGCTGGGGGGTGGTCGTGCTGGGGCGTGGTCGTGCTGGGGCGTGGTCGTGCTGGGGCGTGGTCGTGCTGCGGCGTGGTCGTGCTGGGGCGTGGTCGTGCTGGGGTGTGGTCGTGCTGTGGTAAGGTCGTGCTGGGGTGCGGTCGTGCTGGGGTGTGGTCTTGCTGGGGTGGGGTCGGGCTGGGGTGTGATCGTGCTGGGGTGGGGTCGTGCTGGGGTGTGGTCGTGCTGGGGTGTGGTCGTGCTAGGGTGGGGTCGTGCTGGGGTGGGGTCGTGCTGGGGAGTGGTCGTGCTGGGGGGTGGTCGTGCTGGGGTGTGGTCATGCTGGGGCGTGGTCGTGCTGGGGTGGGGTCGTGCTGGGGTGGGGTCGTGCTGGGGTGGGTTCGTGCTGGGGTGCTCCGCACCCTGTGATTTATCGATCGGGTCGTGCTGGGGTGTGGTCGTGCTGGGGTGTGGTCGTGCTGGGATGTGGTCGTGCTGGGGTGTGGTCGTGCTGGGGTGTGGTCGTGCTGGGGAGTGGTCGTGCTGGGGGGTGGTCGTGCTGGGGGGTGGTCGTGCTCGGGGGTGGTCGTGCTGGGGGGGGGGTCGTGCTGGGGGGTGGTCGTGCTGGGGCGTGGTCGTGCTGGGGCGTGGTCGTGCTGGGGCGTGGTCGTGCTGGGGTGTGGTCGTGCTGTTGTGAGGTCGTGCTGGGGTGTGGTCGTGCTGGGGTGTGGTCTTGCTGGGGTAGGGTCGTGCTGGGGTCGGGTCGTGCTGGGGTGTGGTCGTGCTGGGGTATGGTCGTGCTGGGGTGGGGTCGTGCTGGGGTGGGGTCGTGCTGGGGTCTGGTCGTGCTGGGGTGTGGTCGTGCTGGGGTATGGTCGTGCCAGGGTGGGGTCGTGCATTTCGCTCGAGACATCCTGCCAAAATTCCAGGAAATCGTACAAAAACAAACGAATTAGTCGAGACATCATCGAAATTCCTTCGCGCGGGGCGCTTTTCCGCGTCGCGGTCGGCTCTGCAAAACAAGCGTTTCGCTCGAGACACCCTCGGCAAACTCTGCGGAGCAAGCGTTTCGCTCGAGACATCCTCAACACACGAAAAAGTGGCCCGCACCCTGTGATTTATCGATCGGGATTTCAAAAACAAGCGTTTCCTTCTCGGACGATCCCAAATTTCCACGGATATGAACTCTGAAACACGGGCTATTTTATCTGAAAAAATCACGCCGGCCTCCTTCAGTTGGGGAAGCCGCTACTCCCTCTCATAGTAAAAGAGCCCCTGGCCCCGCCCCTTTCCGGGAACATGATGGACCCACGAACCCGGAAAAGGATATAGACATGTGGAGCATGGGCACGTTTTCACGATACCCAACGGGGCAACACCTCACGAAACATCCCACGAGACACCTCACGAAACATCCCACGAGACACCTCACGAAACATTCCGCGAGACACCTCACGAAACATTCCACGAGGCACCCCGCGAAACATTCCACGGGACACCCCACGAAACATTCCACGACGACAGGCAACCACTCAACCAAGGCGGTGTGGTCGTGCTGGGGAGTGGTCGTGCTGGGGTGTGGTCGTGCTGGGGGGTGGTCTTGCTGGGGTGTGGTCGTGCTGGGGGGGTGGTCGTGCTGGGGGGTGGTTGTGCTGGGGCGTGGTCGTGCTGGGGCGTGGTCGTGCTGGGGCGTGGTCGTGCTGGGGTGTGGTCGTGCTGTGGTGAGGTCGTGCTGGGGTGTGGTCGTGCTGGGGTGTGGTCTTGCTAGGGTGTGGTCGTGCTGGGGTGTGGTCGTGCTGGGTGTGGTCGTGCTGGGGGTGGTCGTTGCTGGGGTGTGGTCGTGCTGGGGTGTGGTCGTGCTGGGGTGTGGTCGTGCAGGGGTGTGGTCGTGCTGGGGTGTGGTCGTGCTGGGGAGTGGTGGTGCTGGGGGGTGGTCGTGCTGGGGGGGTGGTCGTGCTGGGGGGTGGTCGTGCTGGGGCGTGGTCGTTCTGGGGCGTGGTCGTGCTGGGGCGTGGTCGTGCTGGGGTGTGGTCGTGCTGTGGTGAGGTCGTGCTGGGGTGTGGTCGTGCTGGGGTGTGGTGAAGTCGGGATTTCAAAAACAAGCGTTTCGCTCGAGACATCCTCAAATTTTAATTCGCCGGCCTCAAAAACAAGCGTTTCGCTCGAGACATCCTCAAATTTTAATTCGCCGGCTCGTTATTTATCATGGACAAAATTCGCCGGCAATTCGCCGGCTCGTTATTTATCAGGGAAAAAATTCGCCGGCAATTCGCCGGCTCGTTATTTATCAGGGAAAAAATTCGCCGGCCTCCTTCAAGCAGGCACCGGGGGACAGGTTTACCTACTAAAAGAGAACCCTGGGCCTACGCCCTTTCCGGGAAAAAACACTCCAACTGTCAGATTCTGCGCGCGCGGCTCCGGCGAGACTCCAAGCTGATAACCCGCCGCAAGATCCGCGACCGTCCCAGACCCTCAGGTGCTCACAAAATAAGAAGCAGAGGCTCTTCTTGGAAGCCTTCCACTGCCCCCTAATTGCCTCCCTGTGCGCGTGGCCGACAGACATCGGGCAGCGTGTTTTTCCGCAACGTGTCTTCCCTGAGGTCCAGACTCCTTCCCGGGCACCGGCTTGTCATCCTGAGTCAGAGTCCCGAGGCTGTGCGAAGGCCTCCGTAGGCCGCAAATTGGAAGAACCCATCCGCCGTGTTTATGCTCGCGACGCGAAGATGTCAGGGTGTGATATGGTGGGGCTGGACACGACCAATCGCGAAACGAATTGATGTTACTTACCGAAAAACACCACCGCACGCACTCGGCTCGGCTTTACCTGGGCCACCTTGCCCTCACGCATCCTGCTGGTATACAGCCGAGCCCTGTGGACGTGGGAGATGCCCCACTCTCTTGGGCTCAGGCAGGGAGGAGGAAGACCAGTGCAAGCCCAAGATGCATCAACGCTGCTGCACTGCACCCTCCCGTCTCAAGTCTCCTGCTCAGAAGTCCCCACAAGCCTTCCTTCTCGCTGCAAGGGGCGCCCTCATGAGACACCGCCCCCCTCGTGGCCAGCCGGTCTCGGCCGCGAGCCCCGCGTGGAAGAGCAGCAGCTGCCCTGCATCCTTCTGGCGAGCAGCCAGGAATGTGGCAAGGCACGGTCATACAGCTCAGCGGGGACTCCAGCGCGGTCCCCGTCTCCAAACAGGACCGCTCCCCCCCCCCCCGAATCTGCGAAACTGCTGCACAGGCTTGCACCTCTGGCCTCATGTTGCTCCCATCGTACTTAAGGACTACGTCCCAGAAGTTAATTTCGAGTACCCAGAAACGTATCGAAACGGTGTCGAAGAAATATCGCCTCCCAGGGCCCGACACGCGCAAACCCTCAAAAGTTTCGGTGCTCGAAACTCCTTCTGGCAGTCAAGGCTAAAGCAGGTTGGAACATCAACACTGGTCGTGAGCTTCGGGGAAGTCTCAGGCGAGATCCCCAGGGTTGCAAGAGCAGCCATAAGCATGAACTTGTTGCGCTCCGCGCTGTTTTCTTGCATCTGCGCCGGACCCCCCTCCCTGGCGCGCGGAGCGCGCCAGGGGCGGCGCCGGAAGCGCCGCTGGGGGGGCCCGGCGCGGTTCCAAGAAATCCGCGCGGAGCGCCAAAAGTTTATGCTTGTGGCGTCTGGGCCCCGCTGGGGGGGCCCAGCGCGGATCCGAGAAATCCGCGCGGAGTGCCAACAAGATTGCGCCTCTGGCGTTTCCTCTTCTTCGACGTCCGTGCAGCGGCCTGCAAGCGGCCGGGACGGGCAAGCGCGGCACCGCTCGAGGCGGCAGCCGCGCGCGCCAGCGAGGAGGAGCCGCCCGCCCGTGGTCCGACTGCTGGCAGGCTCTGCTGCTGCCTGCACGCGCGGTGCCGAGGCGCGAGACCCCCCATGCTGAAAGCGATCTGTGCGCCGTCCGTGCACACACAGCTGAAGGGGCCCTGGGCCACACAAATAAACAGACACAAAGAACAGGAGTCCCCATGTTTCCCAGATTTTCTGGGTTTCTGTCTTCCCCCCGACACTTCCCATATTTCCCCATACTTCCAGTGGAATCGACGATTAATTGTGCCTGTGTGTTTTCTCCCTCCTGAACAGCAGGAGCTCGACAACACGAGAGGCCTTCCACGAGAGACACGGGCCTGAGACCCCGGGTGATTTTTGGCGTGGGGGCGTCACGGTGTCCACAGCAGAGTCATCGAAGCCCCAGACACTGTGAACAGAAACAGCCCTGACGTTTCTGGGGTCCACGAAAGGAGGGAGGATGACCTCGACCACCAGAAGCCCTTCACGAGGAGCCCAAGCCCGAGAAGACCCCAGGACGTCCATCTCGATGTTCGGTGTGGGAACGTCACGCTTTCCACAGCAAAACCATCGAAACCCAAGAAATGGTGAATTCGGTGTCACACCGAATTCACCATTTCTTGGGCGTGACGTTCCCATACAAGGTGTGGGAACGTCACGATTTCCACAACACAACAATCGAAACCCCAGAGAAACGGTTGACAAAAACAGCCCTCTGCCGGTTTAACCGGGACCCACTTAATTGGAGGGAGGGAGTCTCGGGAGCAGGAGCGGGAGGGAAGCGGCGGAGCAAAAGGCCCTTGGGGGGTCCATGGTCTCGAGCGCCCCCTCTCGGGGGCTTTGAAACTCGGGCAGGGCCCCTAGGGAGGAGGCCAAGGAGGAGGAGGAGGAGGAGGAAGGAGGAGGAGGCTAAGGAAGGGGAGGAGGAGGAGGAGGGAGGAGGAGGAGGAGGAGGAGGAGGAGGAGGAGGAGGAGGAGGAGGAGAGGAGGAGGAAGAGCAGGAGCAGGAGGGGCAGGAGGAGGAGCTGGTAGGAGAGCAGGAGGAAGAGAGGAGGAGCAGGAGGAGAGGCAGGGAGGAGGAGGAGGAGGAGGAGGATGGAGGAGAGGAGGAGGAGGAGGAGGAGGAGGAGGAGGAGGAGGAGAGGAGGAGGAGGAAGGAGGAGGAGGAGATCGAGGGGGGATCTTGCTGTGTGGTTACCCGCCGCCGGGGTGGGTAGAGCGTGACAAGCTGTTCTTCTCCTCCAGCTTCCGCTCCGTTGGAGGCCTGGAAATGAACACCGACACCAACCCCAGGGGCTGCCGCCACCAGGGGAAGATGATCTGGCTGCTGGTGCTGGTACCAATCGTGCGGCGACCCGGGGAACCCGAGTATCACCACCATCGCCGAGATCAAAATCGTCTTCCCCCGGTGGAGGCACACCGCCGATACCGGCGTTGGTGCCAACCTCTGGGCCTCGGACTCTGGCCGCCTCACGCTGCCCCCCTGTCCTCCTCCTCCTCCTCCTCCTCCTCCTCCTCCTCCTCCTCCTCCTCCTCCTCGCACGTCGCCAAGAGAGCGCAGCAGTCCTCAGCTCCTCACTCTACCTCGGGCAATCTGGGCCTGCACTGCGGGAAGGACCTGGGCTTCCAGACCTTCTGAATTTGGATGGGGCAGGCCTGCCACACGGATGAAAACAAAATAAGAGGCACACATTCGGAGAATGGAGGATTCAGAGGGAGAGCGAACGCCGAGACGGTGGATGGGACAATCAGGAATAGCGGCATCATGCAGAGCAGCACGGACAATCGCCCACATTCGGGGGCAGCACCAGTAGTGAACAAAACTGTCAGGCTGGCCCTGACATTGAAATATGCATTGCTTTGCTTCTCTGTCGTGCATTCTGAAACTTGTGATCCAGGCCCCGCTCAGGGTTCGCCAGATTGCGTGCCTGAATGCGGGAGGGAACTTCTTTGCGACATTCTGTACTTCGCTCCAATTAATTCCTCGAATTAATTGTCTCTTCGTTGGAAACATGATGGACCCACGAACCCGGAAAGGGATATAGACATGTGGAGCATGGACACGTTTTCATGATACCCAACTGGGCAACACCTCACGAAACATCCCACGAGACACCTCACGAAACAGCCCACGAGACACCTCACGAAACATTCCACGAGACACCTCACGAAACATTTCACGAGACACCCCGCGAAACATTCCACGAGACACCCCACGAAACATTCCACGACGACAGGCAACCACTCAACCAAGGCGGTGTGGTCGTGCTGGGGAGTGGTCGTGCTGGGGTGTGGTCGTGCTGGGGGGTGGTCGTGCTGGGGGGTGGTCGTGCTGGGGTCGTGCTGGGGGGGTGGTCGTGCTGGGGCGTGGTCGTGCTGGGGCGTGGTCGTGCTGGGGCGTGGTCGTGCTGGGGCGTGGTCGTGCTGGGGCGTGGTCGTGCTGGGGTGTGGTCGTGCTGTGGTAAGGTCGTGCTGGGGTGCGGTCGTGCTGGGGTGTGGTCTTGCTGGGGTGGGGTCGTGCTGGGGTGTGCTCGTGCTGGGGTGGGGTCGTGCTGGGGTGTGGTCGTGCTGGGGTGTGGTCGTGCTGGGGTGTGGTGTCGTGGGTCGTGCTGGGGTGGGTCGTGCTGGGGTGTGGTCGTGCTGGGGTGTGGTCGTGCTGGGGTGTGGTCGTGCTGGGGCTGTGGTCGTGCTGGGGTGGGGTCGTGCTGGGGTGGGTTCGTGCTGGGGTGCTCCGCACCCTGTGATTTATCGATCGGGTCGTGCTGGGGTGTGGTCGTGCTGGGGTGTGGTCGTGCTGGGGTGTGGTCGTGCTGGGGTGTGGTCGTGCTGGGGTATGGTCGTGTGGGGAGTGGTCGTGCTGGGGTGTGGTCGTGCTGGGGGGTGGGGTGGTCGTGCTGGGGGGTGGTCGTGCTGGGGGGGTGGTCGTGCTGGGGGTGTGGTCGTGCTGGGGCGTGGTCGTGCTGGGGCGTGGTCGTGCTGGGGCGCGGTCGTGCTGGGGTGTGGTCGTGCTGTGGTGAGGTCGTGCTGGGGTGTGGTCGTGCTGGGGTGTGGTCTTGCTGGGGTAGGGTCGTGCTGGGGTCGGGTCGTGCTGGGGTGTGGTCGTGCTGGGGTATGGTCGTGCTGGGGTGGGGTCGTGCTGGGGTGGGGTCGTGCTGGGGTCTGGTCGTGCTGGGGTGTGGTCGTGCTGGGGTATGGTCGTGCTAGGGTGGGGTCGTGCATTTCGCTCGAGACATCCTGCCAAAATTCCAGGAAATCGTACAAAAACAAACGAATTAGTCGAGACATCATCGAAATTCCTTCGCGCGGGGCGCTTTTCCGCGTCGCGGTCGGCTCTGCAAAACAAGCGTTTCGCTCGAGACATCCTCGGCAAACTCTGCGGAGCAAGCGTTTCGCTCGAGACATCCTCAACACACGAAAAAGTGGCCCGCACCCTGTGATTTATCGATCGGGATTTCAATAACAAGCGTTTCGCTCGAGACATCCTCAAAATTTAATCCGCCGGCCTCCTTCGACCTCGATATTTATCAGGGAAAAAATCCGCCGGCCTCCTTCAAGTTGGCACCGGGGGGATATGTTTACATAGTAAAAGAGAACCCTGGGCCCCAGCCCTTTCCGGGAAATATCGGCACCACCTTTTACTCCAATCGCCTACCAAAGAATCAGGCATGAACTCGGCCCCAAAGGCTCGGATAATCGCTCCCTGAAGTTTCAGTCGTTTCGACGGGTTAGCAATGAGCCTACGCTCTGCCAGAACATTCTCAGCTGCTGCCAAAGCTTTCGCACCAGCTTTCTTATGGGCATGGGAGGAAAACGGAAAGCCTTTCGCGGCGTTCCTGAGGTTCTCTACAAACGCGGGAGCTTTCCAAAAATTCGGGTATTTCTTTCCATGACCAAGGTCTTGGAGAGTGAGGCACCTCTCAGCTTCGCTCTCCAGCATACTATATATCGTACGCCATTCTGGCAACGTACTGATCGCAGATCTCATTAAAATGCTGGCACACAACGTTTCAACGCTCTCGATCTTGGGCCCTCCCCATTTCCAAAGCGAACACAGGGAAGCTCTTGATAGGGCACAGTCCTCCTCCTCCTCCTCCTCCTCCTCCTCCTCCTCCTCCTCCTCCTCCTCCGCCGCCGCCGGCGCCGCCGCCGCCGCCGCCGCCGCCGCCCTCGCCCCCGCCCCCGCCGCCTCCTCCTGCTCCCCCTCCTCCTCCTGCTCCTCCTCCTGCTCCTCCTCCTCCTCCTCCGCCGCCGCCGCCCCCGCCCCCGCCCCCGCTGCCTCCTCCTGCTCCCCCTCCTCCTGCTCTTCCTCCTCCTCCTTTGTCTTCCGACACCGATGGGAGCAAGAACTGCTGCACTGACGAATGACATGCAAAACGAAACGGCGGCGGCAGCGGCGTCAGCCAGCACGGTGCCTGTCCGCCGCGTAGCGGCCCCACCCGTGACCCTCGAAATAAGGGTCGTAGGGCACATAGAAATCCTGCACCTGTTGCGGGACCTCGGGGACCTGACCGACTTCCTGCAATTCACAATCTCGCACAGTTAGAAGAAGTGCCTGGGCAATAATCTTACACAACTGCGACGGATATTGCTTCGCTGCAGCAGTTCGGAAATCGCCATTCCCTCGGACCCCGACGAGCTCTTCGGGATGAGAGGTGTGGGGGCATTTGCCCCCGCCTGGCAACTGAGCAACTAAATCACGAATCGTCGGCACGCTATCGCACAACAGGGTAGTGGGTTTCTTTGACCGAGCACCACACGTACATTGATCTAAATTCAGAAACCTGATGTCAGCACGAGCTCTGAAACCAAACACTGCAACCATCTCAGGGAGGCGCCAGATCGAGGGGAGGCGAGGGGCCTCCGGTTCAAGAGGATGTTCTAAAATACAGGCAGCTCCCACGGCCGCACAAACATACACGACCTGAAGCATAGTCTGCAACAAACGATTGCCGAGCATAACCTGTTTCCACTCAGATGGCGAGCGGGCCGCCAGGCCCCATAAAAATTCCCTGGACCGCAGGGCGCGAGGCTTCATACCCCCATTAGGCGGTGGA